AAAATTCTGAAAAAATTCTTAGAGTTCTATGAGAAAAAAATTAATGATTTTTGTCTCTTGCAATTTTTCTGTAAAGTTGATAGTATTGAATAAAAAATAAATGTCGATAAGTCAAGTCGCTACTATATTCCAACGAATGCACTGCAATGTACAGTTTTTAAATATCTGAATATTATCTGTATCATAAAATCTGTGAATAAATACCTGTGCATATTAATTAAGAATAATAAAATAAATCATAAAATTAATATTGCATTATGTGCTAATTAAAAATTAATAATTTTACATAATTTCTGTAAGACTAATCGTTGATATTTCTAAAGAAGTCACGTGATCTCCCTTTCATTGCCGCCTCCTGCATGTTGGATACATAACCTTAAAGAACGTGCCTGCTTTTACGAGGAAAAGAATAGGTAATCTGAAATTTTATTTGTTGGCCGTGTTTTATATCACTCAAATTTATTCTGCATCTTTTGATGTTGTTCTCATTTAGAAAAATGTTGGCGCCTTGCGCTATACTGAAGTTGGGAGAGGCATACATAAAACATGCGGTCTTTACAACTTTAAAATTATTAGATCGCCGTATGCCACATTGCGCCCAATATTTTTTAAACATATGATATATTTTAAGCTCTTTCCTTGCATATTACACGTTTATATCAATTTATCTGTGTTTATGTACATTTGTTGTATGTAATTTTTAATTCGAGGGTATAACATTTTAAAGTGTAATTAATGATCGTCTATATATTGTTTGTTATATTTTTGATTGTTCCAGAACATTTGCAACCATGAGCCGTTTCTTCGCAACTGGCTCAGATTCTGAATCTGATAGCGCCTCTGAGGAGGAGCAGGTCCCAAGGGCGCCTGCAACAGCCTTTACAGTAAGCATCAAGACAAGAATTTTCAATATATTTTTACATGGTTTCCAGTTGACAACAGAGCAAGTATCATCTTTTGATGTTGTAAAATTCTTTAATTTATTATTTTTGCTCTTAGTTCTCATGGAATTTAGATCAGGCCTGTTCAATTTGAACTCCAGAACCAAAACGTATAACCATTGACGTAAAAAATTTCAAGATAAATAAGATTATTGAGGACTATGTTGATATATATCTAACTTATGAAGTATTGATAAGTGTCACTTCATAAGTACATAAAATCTATGTAAATCTAAAATCCTAAAATCTTACATTGAGTTTTTTTTACGTCAATAATTTTGCATTTTGGCTTTGGAGCTCAAATTGAACTAGCCTGATCTAGATATATAAACCAATCATGTAAAAGAATTTTACAACAATTGTAAACTGTTTTCTCTGCTAAATAGTCTTTGTTATTCATAAAAAGCTAAGAAAAATAAAACAACTCAGTTGAATAACTCAATATTTTTTTATAGTTTAGTGATGATGAGGAAGAGACAAAACGCGTCGTACGTTCTACAAAGGAGAAACGATATGAAGAAATTGCAAATCTTATAAAACTTATTAGGAATTACAAGAAGATTAAAGACATGAGCAGCATGTTGACCAGTAAGTTTCAACTTCATAAATCTTCTACGACGTTTTATTCATTGAAAATTATATTAGCAAGGACTAAGCATAATATTATTTGTTTACAATATATGTTTATAAATACATTGATATAATTGTTGGTGATTAAATGCTTTTATTATAATAAGTATTTGCTTTCATAATTCTAGGTTTCGAAGACTTGATGCGAGCCTATCAGAAAGCTTTACCCGTGATTACCAAGGAAGAGCTTGGACAAACGCCAAGATTTTATGTTAGATGTTTAGTAGAAATGGAGGATTTTATTAATGAGGTGTGGGAAGACCGCGACGGGCGCAAGAATATGTCCAAAAACAATTCCAAGTCACTTTCAACATTGCGTCAGAAGCTGAGAAAGTATAATAAGGACTTTGAAGAGGATATTGGCAAATTTAGAGAAAA